AATGGGGAAAAAATAAGAACCAAGATGCATCATGTAAAGGTACAATTCCCAATGAGAAATGTAATTGTGTTGTATACCTGCAATGTACCAATAAAAGAATTAAAAAAAAAAAGAATGATAAATTTGAGTCATTTGTAAGAAAATAGATACATCTTGAGACCATAATGTTAAGGGCAAAGAATAGGACACTCAAGCTTAAATATTTATTGCATGATTTTTTTATATGAGAAACACAAATATAAATAAATAGAAAAATAAAATTAGATTATAGAAAAAAAGAAAGTTTCCTAGAAGAGTTCTTGGTTTATTAATCAAATTTTAGGATTTTATTTTTGTACTCTGTGATGTTTGTAGTATTTGACAGCTTTTAAAAAGTGTATAAGCTTTAGACTTCACTAAACATGGTTCTCTCTGTTCATGATAATGTCACTTTTTATTTTTGTCAAGTAAATAAACCTTTAGATGTAAGAAAAAGAAACTGATGGTATAGAGTCGTAAGTTAAATAAAAGTTTATTACTGTTTGTGAGTTCTTTATATAATAGTACCATGGTGATAGATAAATGAAACACAGCCCCTCCAGAAAGGGAGAATGGAGCAGAGCCTCCACACTCCCATCCCACTATCAAATACAGTAGACTCAGATGTGCCTAAGCAATGTGCTTTTATTGGTTATATCATTGAGATGTCAGGGTTTGCTTGTTATTATAGCAGAATTGATCAGATCCTGACTGATCCATAAGGTAAGAGGTCACAGGATCCCATCCTGAGCAGAAGGGAAGCGGTATGTGAGATGAAATAAAGGTGTACCCCTTAGCCTCGAAAACCGGGTATAGAAGGAATGGCCTGTCTTCTGGAACCCCATGCCCTGGTAGAGGCCCAGGGCAGCATACTGCAGCACACTGGTGGAAAGGATGACTTCATTGCAGCCCTGGTCCTGGGTAAACTGGAGGACAGTCTTGACCAGGGCTTTCCCTATTCCCTCTCCTCGATGCTCCATAGCCACAGAGAGATGGCGCAGTTCCAACTGCTTCCTCCCCAGAGCAGGCTTCTCCTCTGGCAGAGCACAGACAATGCCCACCACCTGCCCCCCAGATTCGGCCACCCAGAAACAGGAGCCACATGCACTCAGGTAGGATTTGGTGATGTCAGCCATGTCTGTGCGCAAACTTAGGTTCACATGATCCTTCCAAGTATATCTGGCAAGGAACCACAGGAAAACAAGCAGAATGAAGCTGGATACAATGACCAGGAGCCAGGAACCAGAGACCAAGAGTATGGAGAGGAGCACTCCAAGTAGGAACAGAAGGGTTTAGGGCAGAATCAGCATTTTGTGGAAGGTGGTAGGGATATGCTCCAACAGGCCACTGGAGAACAAGTCCAGGACAGTTTTTTGGTCACTCTCCTGATACTTGCATATATGATAAGGAGCCATGAAGAGATTTCTGTCTAAAATCTCAAAAACCAGGAGAAACAGCTAGATCTGCCTGTGTGACTTCCTTGAAGCCCTGGAGAAAAAAGAGGAAACCATGTAAGTGTCCACACAACTCTGAGCTCCCTAAGAGGCATGGAGACTGCTCAGGGATGTGCCTTTCAGCTGTCATCCAGGGGAAAGCAGGAAAGCACCTCTGAGAGGTTTAGGATCAGAAAGCTGATTAAAACCCTTTACCTGTGTGATTTGGTCATGTCCTTTAACCTTTATGAGCCTATGTCTTCATCTGTAGAGCAGGGTAAACAAACACCTGCCTTCTAGGATTCTTTTGAGGATTTAATATAATAACCGATAGCAAGGCATGGTGGCACACACCTGTGATTCCAGCACTTGGGAGGCTAAGGCAGGATGATCACCACCAGTTCGAGGCCAGCCTGAGCTGCACAGTGAGTTCAAGGCCAGCTTGAACTATAGAGTGAGGCTTTGTCTAAAAA